GGCATCGATTTACTCCCAAGTGGCAAGCTGTCTGATGCAGATGACATTGGGCTACTAAGTGAAGATCCAGGTAAGTTGCAAGCATTTCTGGATAACTTGAATGCCAGCGTAGCCATATTCGGTATGCGTTTTGCAACTTCAAAGTGTAAAATGTTACTACAAGACTGGGTTGGACCAGCACCCAGCCTCACTCTAACTGGGGAAGTAATAGAGCATGTGCATAAGTTTTGTTATTTTGGGCAGCTACATCTCACCCGGTGGACGCATCACGGATGAAGTGTCTGCTCGCATACAGAAGGCTCGATTGGCATTTGCCAACTTGAGGCATCTGTGGCGCCGTCGCGACATCCGCCTGTCTGTGAAGGGTCGAGTATATGCTGCAGTATTTTGGCCAGTTCTGCTATGTGGAGCAGAAACTTGGCCATTAAGGAAACAGGACAAAGATAGACAGTCGGTATTTGAACACCGCTGTCTACGCAGCATTGAACGAATCTGGGGACCTCTAACCGTTGGTTAGAGACACTGAGTGATATGGCTGGGTGTCGCAAACAGTGGCGTTCGTGCATCTCCTCAATTTTTTTGCAACCTTAGACCACTGAACTTCTCCATTTTCTGTTGGACTCCATTTTCAACTTCCCTTTTTTCTCCTATTCTCCATCCAAATGGGCAGCCAAAAGACAGCAACCAAAACCGGAGCACGAAAGTGCATGGTTAATGGTTGTACAAACTGAAACTGAAACCGTTCACTCATGTAAACCGGCAACCTAAGCCTGGGAACTTGAAGTGGAGAGTTATATAGGCCTTATTATTTTATTACACGCATCTGATGAGCAGCAGACAGGGGGACCCCATAGACATGAAAACCGGCTGTACAATGATGAAAATCGATAACCCAAGCCCCGGGACTTGGAATGGTGAATCATATAAGATCCTGATAGGTTAGATCTGACATTGAACCGGACGACAGCAAAGCCGTGTATCACCAAAGTTGGACAGTAGTGGCGGAGCTCGAACTTCGGGTCACAGGGTTCAAAGAAAAACCGGTGAGCGCGACCAAACCACTATGCCATCATCATGCATGTGATATTGAGCCGGATGACAACGAAGTTGGTTTCGACGAAATGCAAAAAAACATGCGGCTGTTAGCCACTTCAGTTCATCAAATGCGATAAAAGAGACAGGCGTTTTAAGGATACCGAACTGGCTTGGTGTTTTCTTCGATCGCTTCATTTTACTTGGCTCGTAATTCTTCCTTTGGAGGAGTAAAATCGCTTAGCGAGTGATCACGAACGATCAGCGGCAGTGCTTGCGAATGCGGTGGGCTTTCCGATCAGTATTGAAACTGAAACTGTATGCAGCGACTTGATATGGCGATTGTAAGCCGGCCACTAAATCGTATGGGACAACACGGCTATCCCAACGGTTGCACTTATATACAAGGCTGGGGATTGACCCTCGAATAAAAACGATTACTCTGGCCTAGACGATCAAGTACCATAACATCTTACAACGTAACCAACCACGATTCTAATCTGCTGCAGCCAACCACGAATGTGAACTGACTTTGCTGTGGTTGGCCCCTTACGGAGACTGAATCGTTGTTTCCGAGTGCTGCTGTCCATACCCGGCGGTTGACTTCGAGGTCCTTAACTATATCGATTCGGTTGCTTTTCCATTGACGAGTGATAAATATTATCCGAAGGCTGAATTCATCTTTGAATACAGTATCCGGCCAGGTTTGATCCATCCACCCATCCCTCCTATCAGTCCACAGTCGGTTGTGTCAGACTGGACATGCAGATGCCCTGCACGACGTCCGTGTGAGTGGGGTTAAGTTCAAAACGAGGTGTTCCAACGACTGAGGTCGATGATGTTGTCCGCGCGTTCATAAACGGGCGTTACGTTAGCGGTTTCTAAGACTTTGGTCAGCAATTCGGTCACAACAGCTTTCAAGTCGTACTTCAGGGTGGTGGTGGTGCAGTGGTTTAATCGCTGTCACCGGCGTATTTTGGACCTTATGGTCCGAGGCTCGAGACTCTCCACCGCCACCCGACTTTGGTGGTAGGCAGCTCTAGTGTCGTCCGGTTCAATACCAAGCCTAACCTATAGGGGCCTTATGTAGTTCACCACTCCAAGTCCCGGAGCTTAGGTTGCCAGTTTCCACCACTGAACAGCAGGTCCTCGTGACTATGGGGTTTACCCCGTCTGCTGTTTATCACGCGTAGGTGTGTAATAAAAAAAGGAGCTGGGTTGTATCTGGAAATCGTTTTTGAATCGTTTTTTTGGATCACATCACGAACAGTGAACTGGAGCAATTTTGCCAACTGCGACAAATAAGGCTACGCGATGCCATCCGACTTTTCCGCGGAGACCGGTGTAGCTCAGCGCTGTTCGCAGTGTTCTGGTCGACTGTTTTAAGACCCAATCTCGTCGCACCAGGTGGCTTTCTGCATTCTCTCACAGATATCTCCGAAACATCCCTCGATTCCGGTGAGCAATGACAAGGTTCGTCGTCGCACTTTGGATGTCAATTGTTGCCCTTAATCAAATGACACCGCCTCGGCTGGCNCTCTGACTTGCTCTGCGTTTTCTTTTTCAGTGCTTTCTGCATGTGACGGACAAAAGCGGGAGCGGTCAGAGATCCATAAAAGAAATCAGTAGCATGAATTTTGTGATGCGTATGTTGAAATTTAGTGCCCCGTGAAAACACGGTCCCCAAAACATAAAAACGTGTACGGCGACAACACTGAAAAAAATGTTTCCTTTACTGAACCACTTTCTCTCAATTGCATTATTTTCAGTATAACTGCGTCAGGACAATACTTGTGCCCAATAGGACACACAAATTTCGCTGGTAGAATCAAAACAGTAATCATTTGGTTAAAGTGTTCAGAACACAAGCAAATACGAACTGGAGGCAATTGAGGTAAGGAGAACAATACTTACCTGGGACATAATACCGAACTGCATCCGGCGGCACTTTCGGCGAAATGCTTTCAAAGTGACCGGGTCCAGCAAGTGTGGGTAAGAAGCGACTGAATAATTGAAGGAATGGAGGAAGAAAGCGGATGAGACTGAGCCAATCTAATAACATATGACAAAGTGATGATACAAGAAAAAATATAAAACTATTCCGAGTTAATCAACACAAAGCAAACGAGAAATTAGGCAGTTGTCATCTAATCACACCACCCTCGGAAGTTTTCGATAAGATAAGTAAAATTACCTCCAGTGGTAAATGCTGTTAGATTCCCTGAAAATTCAGACATCATGATCTGTGTAATGATATGTAGGTTTTACCTCTGATTATAGTTGCGTAAGACCCATACAAGAAGATTACACAGATTACAGTGCCAGTGAATTCCGATGGAATAGAAATAGGAAGCATTATGTTCACATAATCTTGCTCCCAAGTGTTGGTCATCAGCCGTGAGGCTTGTACAGTTCCCGCACCTCTATTTCAGATGAAGGACTGACGTCAACCGGGAGTTGTTTCCCGCTCGGGGTGGAGGGCGGTGATAAGTCAGATATGGATGGGAGCCAGTTGAACTGAATATATTGGTCAAGACGGCGTTGTTGATGGCGAATCAGTGTGTCATCGGATTACTCAATCACCCCACTTATGCCTATTTTCCTGGGAGCCGTATTCCTAATTAGACGGAAGAGAGAGCGACTATTACCAATGGCCGCAGCATTTTCTGTCCCTCTACAATTTCCTACCTACCACTTCTCGCGGTTATTCCTCAAACTCTTGATGAGCAGGCTTTTAAAATCAACTGAACAGCAGATTCACTATCACCTGTAAGGAAACTAGTTACGCAATACACTGTTATAATCAGGAGTTGGGAAGGATATAGTAGGTAATGAAAACAAAGTATTGTTGGAACTTTCACGCCCCCGAACATTATTACCTGAATAGTGGGTTATATGGTAGAATAAGTTCTTCTAATAAAATAAACCTCCGATAAAACTGTAGCATGATAACAAATTTCATCGACACATTTGAAACTTCGTTTAAACTTTTAATTTCAGGTACCCGTTCTGACGTATCCATGCAACTGTTTCAGTATTTTTACCATTCTGGAAATGTGAGCACGAAAGTTAAACTTAGCCCAAACCCAGATAAAAGCAATGAGAACCGGCGGAAACGCCAAACTCTACTTCTGGCTGACGCTTCCGATGAGATAACCGTCCTCTCGACTGATTAAGTACGGAGTAGGTGTACCTCTTCCCTCCACCTGATTGTTCTGGGGCGAGTTCGTCATGCGCCAGTCTAGAAGAACTGTATAAATAATTAGAATCCTCTGTTCTGAGGAATGCACCATTAATCATGCATGAGCGCATTCTAGCACTATAATATATGTTCCGTTAAGTGTAACATGATCTACTGCGGAATAACGATGAAAATTAAAGAGAATCGGCGGAAGCTAGAATAATGTCATATCCACTGGATATGATGTTTTCACCGATTGAATACATTAGCGCATTTTGAATTCCAATGGTAGAAAAGATGATAGTATCAAGATAACCTTACGAGGACCAACACGGTTGGAATGTCCCTCAACAAACTCCGCCCAGTAATATGCAGCGGTTTTCCCTTATTGTGAGCTGTAGTTCTATTGACAGTGCAGAATTTATCACTCACGCAAACCAGCACTTCGCTGTTTTCACCTTTATCCAAAAATAGAGATTCATCCCATTTCTCCAGATAAAACAGTTTGTCAGATTTTATGATCATTCTGCTTTTCACGAACCAGTATTGATACGGTCATTTTCTTCTGTTTTAATCCCGGTCGATTATAAACAACCTGGTGCTTCCGCTTCATCAAAATTATTGATCCTTGGCTGATTTTGGATGAACTTCCATTTCGGGTCGGCAAGAAAAGCTCCCTCCCGCAGTAACTGTATTATGATTTATTATTTAACACCGGCTTGAGAACAAGCTTGGTGCCAAAGCCATAACAATATTAACAATAACAATAACTGAACGCCTAATTTAGTTCCAATGTTTAGCTAAACCTATATATTAAAGAGATGATGCCTCGTATCTAGCATTTGCTTATAGTGGGTGCCAACAGATGGGTCAGATTGGCAATCATTTTTACGATACACCGTTTTGTGCGATGCATGCCAGAAAGTACAAATCCCATCCGCAGCCCGGAAGACACAGTATTTATAGAACACAAAGTGACGAACAGGTACCTAGTCAATGATTGGTCTTCATAGCATACATC